TAGTTGGGTTTTTTTACATATGATTTTTTAAAGGAAGTTTGCTGAAGATAAGATAACCCTTACTTTCTTCACAGTCTGCATCATATTTTCCCTCAACGTGCAGTATATATGTGAAAAAATAGTGCTGATATGGTAATGTAATATGATGATCAATAGCATAACAATAAATCAGGAGCAACCGCTGTACCTTTACTAAGGTCGATAAACTCTCAGAACTACAGGAGCTACTTTGCAATTATGGCATTGTAGAACTAACGGAAACACTGGGAACACCCTAACTTACATTTCTCATTTTTGACCCTCATTCAAGAAGCAGATTTTGACAAAGAATATAATTTCATCACTTATACTTCAATAACATGGTATATGAATTAAGAGGCTCATAAAATGAAAATGGTACACAGCATACATATAACAGGTGTCTGATAACTAGAGAAGGAACACATAATTTCTAATAATAAGGAAACCCACACAATACACCGTTTCATTTCAACACAAAAAGACACAATAAAGCAATATCTTATAGCTTCTTTGGACACAATATGATGACAGTGTGAAAGTATTACATGACTATTGTCAATAAAATTGAAGACAACATTCCCTAAATGCCACCAACAAAAACAGTTTGGGCTTTTTATGGTCACTTCATCTGTCGCAATCACCACAGTTAATGACTGTCACTGACACCTACCTTATTATTTTTTTCCACTCTTCTACATTTTTTGCCTTACTAACAACCATACACCTTGAACTTTAAGTCCACTTGGAGATGGGGTCGACATATAATTCTGTTGGTCAGCCATTACGATAAAATCACCAACACAAATACATTCTAAATTCAGAGTTCTGAAAAATCAAGGCCTCTTTTAATTTGCACAAAGAAACTCTTGTGACCGTATATATCATTTGTGACATAATCTTTAGAAGGAAAGAGAAATCATTTCATGAGCGATGGTAAAAAATCATCAGATGCCAGTTTCTACAGGGTAAATATGACTTAAGCCACAGAAAAAGAGCTCTATAAAAGTGCCATATAAACAAACCATTGCATTAGGAATGTTTTATTTTACAAAACACCCGTCAGAAATAGTTATTAAAAAAACCCAAACAAACATAGTAACTCCAATAAACCAAAAAATAGAAATGTCATGGTTTCATTGCTTTCAGGCTAAACACACAGAGGTATGTCGTGCGATATGAACTTGCTGAAAATAGAAGGACAAGTTCACCAGCAGGTGTCTTATAACCAGAAAAAAGCACAAAAAACCCCAGAAAATCAGTGAGACATTAATATTGCTTGTTCATTATTGTGCAAGCACATAGATGACCTTTTTTTAAATGAAAATACATATTCATAGATTGCTTCTCCGGCACATTCACTGATTGTATTCACCTCTATTCTGCTGTAAACTGACAAAATGCCTTTTTTTCTTCTTCACAGCAGTTTCGAGAAAAGTTTTTCTCAGAGAAACTGTTTAAAAATAGAGTGATTTCGAAATTTGAAATCTAATTTATTAAAAAACTAGTCACCGTTTCACAGTGGGTTTTTTCCACATAAGTAGGGTAACCGATCAGGCTTTCATTATAGAAAATAAAAAATTTTGGCGTAAAAATGAAAAAAAGGCGTTTTGTCAGCTTATGGCAGTATTTAATTTGGCTTATTCAGCTGCTGGTAAATACTTCCTCTTTTAAAATGCCTGATCGTGTGTGAAGCCAAAAGCAAAGATTATAGAATAATTTAATTAAAATATGTAAGCGTGAAGTGTGACATTATCATCTTTGATAAGACCATAAATTAAACAGACATGGAACTTACGATAAAAGAGTTTAAACAACATAACGATAACAATCATGATAATAGTAACAATAATAGTCAGAATGATAATTGTAAGGTGGCTTTTTGACTATACGCCTTATCAAAAGTGGGTTCTATGCTTCTTACAAATTATCATAAGACAGATAAGCCCCATAACATTTGAAAATCTACTAATCATCCTGGAAACCATAGAAGTGAGCTGTTATTTCATTGGCGCTAAAATACTAACAATAGACCAGATCTTTTAAGGCCCTAGTGTAGAACCTATTCTCACAAGGAGTAAGGAAAAATTGTACAATATGGCTTTCCCAGTTGGCAAACCCTTCGACTGCCTATACTCAATACCAGGGAGAAAGAGGCAAATGATAAATGAATGACATAAAGTCAGGCCAGGAGTAAGAATCAATTTCACCACGACACTATTGCCTAACCACTGAACTACTGGAGCTACATACTGGAATGTTGGAGGATGAGAAATGGGATGGGTAGAGAAAAGATTGGCAGAAAAAATGTATAGGGTGGGGAGGGGGATGCGTTTAAACATTAGCTCTGGAGAGAATAAAAATAAATGAACAAAAATATAAAAGCATTTCAAGTTTGAATTGAATTTTATGAAAAGAAAAAAGAGAATAGTCATTTCCCTGAAAAATTTATAGGAATACTAAATACTCATTAGATTTTCATTAAACTCGATAGGATGTTCATCATACATCATTTTTACAGATAACACATAGAAGAACTACTCCAAAGCTGGTCACTTAAAAGTGGGAATGATTTATGGGAAGCAGCTAAGGGATAAAGCTTTAAATGGGATTGAGAAGGGAAAGGAGGATGTGAAAAAGGAGGGGGGGAGGGGGGGACACATCTGAAAACCAAGGTCCAGCTGAGACAAAAGGTGCAGAGTATAGAGCCTTCACAGATACACCTTATCAGTTTGAACCCATGTCTTCCGAGTCTCAGAGGACCCATGAACTGGAGCTCCCCTGGTTTGGCAATTAAATTTGCACAACAGAGTCTGAGGCATGTGTTTGGTGTTCAGAGGGGTAACGGTAAAGTACACCCAGGAATTGTGCTCTGGTCTTTAAGGCCAGGTTGTATCTGCCACATAATCTAAATCTCTAAATCAGGATATCTCCCCCCTCCTCCCTTTCTTTCATCCTCCCCAAAAAGTACAAGGCACAAACAGATATGGATTGTGATAGACACTAGGGGAAAATGGCGGATGTGAGGCAAATCACATGTAGCACGCATGGTAAATTCAGTTTCTGCAAGGTCTCAGCTACAATAAAACATGTTTACAACGCATGGAATGTCACAATATGGCTGGAGGTCTTACATTATAAAGCAAGTATGGTTACAAAAAGCACAATAATTGAAAAAAGACATTAACTGGACATCCGTACAATAATCAAACATAATAAGCACTTCCGTATTTCATCAAATTAAATGGTTAGCCAAACTATCAACTCTAGCTGAAACGAGAAACGTTCGACAAAAACAACTTCCAACAGAACAAAACCCTTAAATAATCTTTACCATATACCGTATCTGTGGTTAAGCAGATGCCAGGACGGGGGGCTCTCGTGGCCTAGAGGTTAAGGTGTTGGCCTCTCACTCAAAAGGTCCCGTGTTCGAATCCGGGTAGCGACCGAAAAATTTTCTTCTCTAAAATTTGTCTCCTTTCACCTCATTTCCTGCTCTCTAGCAATGTTCTGTCGTCTGCTTTCGTCTCCTCCTTCTGCCCCCACCCCCACACCTCCTTTGCCCCTTTCTTTGGGCTCCTGATTCTTTCTGCAGCCTTTCTACTGCTACTCCTTTGCTTCTTCTTACTGCTGTCTTTCAGCCACACCCCTGATCTTCTGGTAGGAAAGATCTACACCTAGCCTTCTCGGACAAGGGCGAAAAAATCTCGGAGGGCCCGTGTGCAAGTTGCGCACGTTAAAGATCCCTTGGTGGTCTAAAATCGATAAGAGTAGGCTTCGGCCGCCACCCGGGCAAAATTCCAAATTTCCAACCAACTGAAAATATTAGGTGTGTCCCGCGCGCTCATATGACCTTATGCAGTTGCGAGCGTCGTAAAACACTTTACCAAAACAAACAAACAAAGATGCCAGGACTCCAAATCATGATCAGCTGTTGTGATTATCTTCCAAACCACAAAAAGATAATACATTTCAAGAGCAGGATATCTGGACTGTAAAATCATAATCTCAATACATATAAAATATCACGAGCTTAAAACCTGATCTGCTCTCACAAAATGTGTTATCCCACTCCAATTAAGCAATCTGAACAGCTAATCTCAACACTAATGACATTCTAAATGAAATGGATGAAATAAAAAATACAAAGTATTACATAGAATATTTCATTCTCATATCTCCACAAAGAAAAAACTGAGCCAATAACTATTTTCATTCTTGTTTTTTTAACAATAGACGAACATGTTCGGAGACATTAATTTCTCATTGAATTTGGCATTCAGATAGAAAGTAGTGCCATTGCTTTTAAAGTGACTTCCCTTGTTTAAAAGTACAATTTAGTGTAGTTTCTCAGCCTCAGTCAATCTTTTCGCTGTGGAAAAGTGACAGAGTGTGAATGTGTGTGTATATGTGAGTGTGTGGATGTGTCTCTGTGGGTGTGAGTACGAGAGAGAGAGAGAGAGAGAGAGAGAGAGAAAGAGAGAGAGAGAGAGAGAGAGAGAGAGAGAGAGAGAGAGGAGAGAGAGAGAGAGAGAGAGGAGAGAGAGAGAGAGAAAGAGAGAGAGAGAGAGAGAGAGAGATAGAGAGAAAGAGAGAGGAGGGATGGAATGTAGAGAAAACAAGAAAGAGCAAACGCATGCCTTACCCTAAATAAACGACTATTACTAGGATTAACAAAATATAGAGCATACTTTCAGCATACCTTGGTGTCATACTTAAGGCACAAACTATTTCATATTCAAAAGAGACACTATATATCTTATCAAAGATGGCAAATTAGGTTTATGTGTAAATTATGATCCCTCATCATTGTACACTTTTGCTGTTTCTTCTTTATATGCTTGTTTTTCAGATTGATTTGTAGTGTAACTTAAACGTAAAACTCAAGGTACAATGCTAGAACTTTTTTTCTTTTTAAAGTGAAGACATGGTTGTTAATGCTAGAGAAAGGCTGGCATCAACAATCTCGTCCTCTCATCAACTACATTGTTATTGCATTAAACTAGTCATCTTTATATCTACTGGAGGAGAGCTTTCTCTTTATGCATGAAAAAAAGTCTGTACAAAAAACAAGATTCTGTCCTCTCAGACACCAAATGAAGGAAAACAGTAACGGGTAAAAAAAAATATATATCCACAGATATTATAAAGTAGTCTTCTTAAAAAAAAATTTTGAAAAAAAAATAGAAGATAGGAAAATAAAATTCATGCCTGTGAGTTTCAGACAGTTGGCATTTGATAGCTAATTCAAATTTTGGCAGATTGCATTAAACAGGGATCACCATAAATTCAAAATCCAGCCTAAGTACACATTTTGAAATTGCAAAAATATCACATTGAATGATATGTATTACGATTTACAGATCATAATAGAGCTTAGGTGGCAAAAACTATAAAACATACTTCCTCCCCTTATCGCCCTCCAAAAAGTTTGGTGGTAGCACAATGGCAGGATGGAAAACCACTTCTACAGCAGAGTGACACTTGAGCACCAAATCTCAGGAGATGCATCACATTCCCTTTGGTGAATTGTCATGACTATCTTTCCCTCAGTCTCCCTTTCTTCTTTACACTGTGAAAGAAGGTGCAACACCTCCGAAATATCACCTTTCTCTCTTATCACCTTTCTCAGAGATAAATTTGTCTCAAAACAATAAGATACGATACTCATAAGCACTTTCTCCCATATTATGTGCACAGTTTACTGCTTAGGAAAGATGATTCTCATCTTGTTACCAGGTAAAGAAAAAGAAAATATTTTGAGTTAATGGACACCATTAGCGAAAAGCTTCTAGTTCACTTTTCCATCCAACTTCATCCAGTACAACATAAAGGATACCAATCATTTCCTGAGGATGCCAAGATATCTTGCAGAAAAAAACAACAATACAAACCTCCCCCTAAGAACAACCCCCCGCCCATCGTTTTTTTCTACAACTATTCTGGGTGTGGTTTTTAAAGAATAAAATTAATCCTCTATTTACTGAAAAAATACATGATATTAGTAACTCACTCGTATATATTTCATTTATAAAAATGTCTTTTTTATGCACATTGGGTCTGTAGGTATGTGGAACAGGAAAGATGTGATGAAAAGAACAATTCACAATAAATTCTAACCCCTGCCCTTTCTAATAGTTATTTGTTCAAGCATCTATGCTCATACAAGTAATAAATGCTTGTTCCTGTTGTGTGCAAGTGCATGATCATACCTTTAATGATGTCAGTGATGTCCAGAACAGACTCGTACAATCCGTGACCAACATCACATTTGAGAAGGAAGTTACAGAACAAACTAAAATTAGGAGCTTGTTAAAGTTAAAGTGCTGACAACATTTAGACAGACACGCATGAGACTAACCATAAGTCTGACGATAAAGCAAAGGTGAAAGCCAAATTCATGAACCGGATCTACTAACTAGGAGTATTAAAGGGATTAACAATTTCAACAAGAACAATGTCCCGTAACTACATTTATCTGGGAAGCAAAGGAACGGGCATCAAGCTTCTCCCAGTGAAAAAAAACAACCCTGACTGCTCAGGGTCACACGTCACTTTTCAAAATGGCGAATTGCAGAGTCTTACATAAGCAGTCAAACCAATGTCTTTCCTGCTCATATTGATAAGGCTCCAGAATAATACCATAGCAGAAAAATTGGCCCATCCAAGTTATGATGAAAAAAGAAAAATAACAACCGGTAGGTCATGATTCTACAAGGCGCAGGATGACGCAGAACCGATTGGCGAGAAGCAGATACCATTATCCTTATTTACTTATGAAATTCCATCTGCTGTAGTGAGTTGTCAGAAAAATGTGCTTCTGACACACTTGTCTTACGTCCCTTTCTTCTTTTTTTTTTCAGTTATGACTCTCTGACCTTCCTCAACAAGTAGGAACAAAAATCAGCTGGTGCTACGGAAACAAGTTCCAGGCATGAGGACAGCTGCGCACAGGAGCACAACGAGACCCTGGCAGTCACAACCTTCTCTTTCCATGTGGTCTGGCAGTGCATGACCCTATCAATTTCTACAGAAGCAAGACAAGTACACAGCTGCTGGTGAAGAAGTAGGGAGGCAATGAATCCTGACTGGTCTTCCCAATTCCAGGGAGGAACCAATGATGTCATGACAGTAAAAGTGGATTTTTAGACTTCCAGTTCCCCTCAAGAGCAGAACAGTCCACAAACACACTCCCCCATCTCATCCATATTATAGCAGATAGAAATAAACGGCTTGTCTACTGCTCGACGTTTTATAAAAGTTCTTGCTCTCTCATTAAAAAATACTTATCACAATCATTTTTCTATCTCTTGATATATTAAATGCATCTCTATCCAGGCTTGAATTTTTAAAAGGCCTGTAAGTTCTGTTCACACAGACTGTCAAGCATCTTAAGGCACAACTTTACTAATGTTAGAACTTGATCTATCAAGTTAGTTTACGTGTAAGAACACTAAATGATAGGCATATCTGTCAGTGGGAAGGCCTACTCATGACATAAACATTCACTAAAGTAAAGGAGTTTAAAAAAAAATTAAACTAGATCCATCATCAACTACAAAACTGTCATAATATGTGAAATGGTGGTATGGATAGTTTGAAAAAGAATATGGTAGCCAAAATTTTGTGTCTAACACAAACAAGTACAGGTAGTTTTTAGATCAGGCATTGCTATTTCATTAAAGTGCAGTGAATGACAAAAGCTGGAGAGGCAACTGTCAGTAACCAGAAAGGACCATTGACATCTGTAAGTGTAAGCCAAGCCTGTATGGCTGATATCCTTTACCAAAAAGGAAATACCTTAGGCCTTCATGTTGACACCTCTGCAGCATTGTTCAGTTTACATATGCCATATTCAGCTGTTGAGCAACATGAAATTGCATACCTGCTGTCACATAGAAGGATAATCCACGCAGTAAGAGCATAAAGGTGAGATCAAAGAATCCAAGCATAATATTTGACAGTCTATACAATTTGTCCCTTTAATATATGGAAAATTTAAATTTCATTCTGTAGTAACCCTGTCTTATGCTCATGTCTCAAAAAAGCTATGATTTATAGAAGCCTAAGCTTAAAAGTAATCTTTAAAAAATATGTTGTGTTTTGCATGAACTGTGACATCATTTTTTGACAGGGTAGAACAGAAATTTTGGGCACATGTAACATTGATCTGATTTTGTATATTTAACATAGTGCCTTCGCTCTGCTCACCATCCAAAGTGTTGAGGAAAAGATGAAGAAACTTGATACAAAGAATATCAAAAGTTGTTCTTGGTATGCTGTATATGTGAGACTACTGATTTTAAATCTGTTATTATTTGGACAACTTGTATATTTTTATATGCTGTATACATGAGACTTTACAGATTTTACGGCCGTATATATTTGGATAATCTTTATTTTAAAGCAGCATATATTATATTTTTTACTTTAAAAGATTGAATGCAATTATTAGTGATGTCGTTGTGGAGATCACTGTCGATATATCAAATCATTCACCAGTTCGCAGGTCCAGCCAATGGTATTCAAAAACAACTTCACATTCTCAAACACAAGAATCAGGCCAAAACTTGTCACTCAATCTTAAAAAAAAGAACGAAGAAGAGTAAACATGAACTTCCTTTGCACTTAAAATTGACATTTCATTAAAGACAGAAGTTTCACAGGACTACAGAATTTTTATTACAGAAACCCTCACCCAGCATCAATTACCTAGAATAACAAAATGACCAAATATGACTAGCCCTGGTTACAAGAAAAATATCATTCTGTTTACAAAGAAGAATAATTTCAGGTACAACAGACACCACAAAGCCTGCAAAAAGTATGACCTCTTATACATTTTTCACTCATTCACCACAAACCACAACCATATGACACATTAAGTGCTGCTCACACGTTGACTGTCTCACTTTGCTAGCGCCAGAGCTAAGAATTCTTCCCTTGTCTTCGGGTCATCGCGGAAGACTCCTAGCATGGTGCTAGTGATGGTTTTGCTGTTCAGTTTCTGCACTCCTCGCATCACCATGCACATATGACTGAAGACAAGAAAAATAAAAAACCCAAAGCATAAGTAAATTGCATGAGCTGTACACATGGCATTGACACAATTAAAAGCAGAGGAATAGAACCTACATACTCTCATTATATGAACATCAGAAACAATGAAATGTTTTAGTACATTTTATGACACTTGAAACACAATAAATCTTACAAGTGCTGAAGATAAGAGGTGTAACAAGAGAGTAGCAAACACAAAAAGAAGGAGGAGAGATAAGGAGGAAATACATGTATCTTTGATAGGAAAGAAGGTACAAACAGCACAAGAACACACGCCTACAACTCACAAACAATGAAAGTTATTTGGAATTCCACAGTTCTTTACAGTCACAATTAAAAAGTGGTTTGTTTCTTCTTTCCTATGAAACATCTATCGTTTTTATCTCCCTTTCTTCTTTTTTATGTTTGTTACTCTCTTGTAACACCTAATCTTCTGGCGCTCATATGACCTTAAGCAATTGCGAGCCCTGTAAAACCTCTACTAACCCCCCCCCCCCCCCAAAAAAAAAAGATCAATGGTATGGAGACACCAAAGAAGAGAAGGAAGTTGTTCACGCTTTCCCGGGCAGTGGACAAAGACTGAGAAAATTTCCTCCCTGCAAAAATTGCCAGTTAGCAAGCTAGGTTGAAAATGAAATTTGTTTGTAGAAAAATATTGTGCATGCTTGATTTCTTTATTAACGTGTTTTGTTATACTGTCCCCCCCACCATGTGATTATGAGCTAAAGTACCGGTGGGCCTACATTTTAGCTCCTCATGGAGACAATTAGCACGAAGACCCTGGGGTGGACGCTGGAAAGGAGAGATGAGCAGCTATGGACATGTACGGCCTGCTATGATTCTAGTTCAGGATCCAAGTAATCCAAGTACCAGTACAAGTTAACACTACAGTGACACACTGCATTACGAGAGTGCCTGTGCGATCCCTAGGACTGCTGCCAGCAGTTACTACTAATTATGTAGTACTATAGGTAGTTTGTTGGCTACTCGAGCGATCCATCAATTATCATTCTCTCTCTCTCTCTCACACACATACACACACACACACACACACATACATACACACACACAGACATTCATACATGCAATATACATACATACATACATACATACATACACACACACACACACACACACACACACACACATACATACATACATACATACATACATACATACATACATACATACATACATACATACATACATACATACATACATACATACATACATATACATACATACATACATACATACATATACATACCTACATACATACATACATAAATACATACATACATACATACATACATACATACATACATACATACATACATACATACATACATACACCCCACCCCCACATATTACATAATAAGAGAAAGAGGGAGAAAGAGATTGAGAGAGAGAAATAGAGAGAGAGGGAGAGAGGACAGGAGAGAGAGAGAGAGAGAGAGAGAGAGAGAGAGAGAGAGAGAGAGAGAGAGAGAGAGAGAGAGAGAGAGAGAGAGAGAGAGAGAGAGAGAGAGAGAGAGACTGAGACAGAGAAAGGGACAGACAGACAGACAGACAGACAGACAGACAGCCAGCCAGCCAGCCAGCCAGACAGACAGACAGACAGACAGACAGACAGACAGACAGAGGGGGGAAACATCACATTACCAAGCCTCCACAACGACTCCAACGCCTGCAGGCTGTACTGCCTCTGTGATGGCCACAGCTATCTGTTTGGTGAGCCGTTCTTGAACTGTCGGAGAAAGGCGGGGAGCAATGATCGGTCAGACAGTTTACAGAAACACATTTGTCAAGCGACTTGAGGGTTAATAAAAACCTTAGATAATTGATATACGTGATGCACTTGTGAAGCAACTCGAGGGCTAATACAAATCTTAGAAAACTGCTACACGGGTGCACGATGAATAAAATAGTATGCACTTTGGCAGCCAGTATTCGACCTGACGCGATCCGATAAGCTCAAGGAGATTGGGTGCATTTAATTGATGGGCATCACTGATAAAAACATCGTGTTATAAAAGCCCCTGTCAAAGTAATCCCAAGGGTACAAATGGTGCTAATTACGCTACCTTAGAATTACAAAGTTGTATCTGTGCAGAACCTAGTTTTGAGAAAACTGAATTAAAAAAAGGTTGAGTTTCACAATAATCAAACTTTTTCGAATGCACTGCTTTGACAATCTTGAAAACGACTCAGAATAATCGTACAATTCTGATAGAGCATTTGATTTCTAATCTCATAATAATATGGTCTTAGTAATTCAAAACAGCCAAAAATGTCAAGTAGAACTTTGTTATTCTGCTAACGTAGCGACTGGTCAAATTAAAATGCATGAGATTAGTTCAGGTCGGATCGGGTCAAGTAATTGTCCAATACACACTATGTCAAATTGACCTCTGCTTTGTTTCATCAAATTTGACTTGAAAGTCCATTTGAGCCTATTGCAATCTGTGCAAGAACAAAAGATGTGACCATGCCATAGCGTGTTGGAGCATTCTCATTAGCTTTTTTTCGTCAAAAAAAAAAGAACCGATCGACAGTAGAAAATCAAGCAAGTTTGATTCTGATCACAGGGTGCAAAAGAGATTTCTGTCGCCCCTCCGGGCTCCTTGAACGAAAACCTGGTTGCCATCAAATATTATCAAACCATGTCAAACAAGGATTATGAAGAAAATCGTTCAATGTTGTAGATAAATTCAAAAGCGGGACAACCACTACTTTAGGTCGAGTTATGTCCCTTGATGGCTGCGCACGATTCTTGGCCAAAGATTAGTGCACGATCGTATTCCTAGACCAGCATCGCACAACGAACAACAAACCAAAACAAACAAACACACAAAACAAAAACAAAACAACCCCCACTAAAAAAACAACAACAAACAAACGCAAAAACAAACAAAGTTGGTCAACTACTTTGTTGCAGAATTGGGGACAAATAAAACTTGATTAAGTGGTTTCGTGTCGGTGCGGTAGGGTTTTCTTTTATCCATTGTCCCCAACACACTAACAAAATTAACATATATGCGAGGAGATAACCGAGGCGCTGTTGCAATTGAATGAAACGCATTATGAAAAAGGCGTGACAATGTGCTTGTGTGAGTGCCGTTATGCTCTTGTATTTAGGGTAAAAAATATTATGCACATAATATACGCGTTTAGCTGTAACTTATCAAAACTGACAGACAACGTTTTCTTGCGGTTTACGAAGGCTGACACCAATCGTCTTGAAAAGTAGGCTACTATAATGTATGTGTTTGTTTGACGCCGTGGGTGGAAAAACCCATCAATACACTGATTACGTCAGACTCGAGACACCAGCGATTTCGGCTAAACGGAATTCCAAACGAAGGCATTAAACGTAGAGATGTGATTTACAATAAACCGTCACATTTGACTTTTGTCAATATTTGTTTAAAAATATGGCATCCTGTAGTAAAGGCCAGAGAAAGATCAATATATGGTTGCAAATAATTGTAAATCATAACTAGGCCGGCAGCTTAGTCCCTGTTTGTCAGAGACCACCAAAAAAGACTGTAGGCCTACGCAACTGTACAAAACAGACCACCCAATGTGTAAACCATGCGGGCGCACTCGCGCGTAAAATGTAAAATTATGTGAGTAGGTCAAGAATCCATAAGAAAGCATCAACGCCTATGAAAGTTTTGATTTCCATTTCTCAAGTTATTTCACAAGCCCTCGCCTAATATTTTCACTTTTCTGGCGAATCCGTTGGAAGAACAGCAGAAAGAATATATTACAAATAAAAAAACAACAACCCCAATCCAGCAACTGAGGCCTGCTGCCTAAGACTGAATCTGTACAGAAGAGAAGCGATCGGCCATCTTTTAAGATTATCATATCTACCTAAATCTCAAAACCTCACTTCTTCAACAATGATATCTAGTACACACAAGGTTAAGGTATCAAAACTGCGAATACTGTATCGAATCACTAAAGCATCGTTGAGAAGAAGTTAATCTTGTCGGGGATTTTAAATCAAAGTATAGAGTGCACCCGAACCGAACACATAGATAATATACTATTATTCTGTATGCTATGCAACATATACATGTAATTATATCATATAACATAAGTCTTAAATAACAGGTGTCAGGGGAACGCGGAAGACATATGTGTCACTTAAGGAGAAACAGGCGCACCCTCGAGCGACGACCTAGAGTTCTCAAGCACTTCACTTGATTAAAAATTCCCTGCAAAACACGCTTCTTGGAGAAACTAGTGACTCGCTGAAGTTGTCTTCCTGGTCGAGACACAGCAGTCACAGAAGTCTTCAACAAGCGCTTTCAAAGGAAACCTTAGTAAAAAAAAAAAAAAAAAAGAAAAAAAGCCCAGCAAAAGTAACGTCGAACAAGGCACTGTATGTGCTTTATCAACCGGATCTAGGATTTCGTGTACAAAACACATGGGGAAAAAAACCCTGTTAACATTCAAAGTCTATTGTTACATTCCCAGAATTGATTTAAGCAGAAATGATCAAAGGATGATTGCACAAAAACTGCTACATCAGGTAGAATAGAAGATCAAGTCTTTAAAAAAGCCGTTCCATTTTATCGCGAGTCGACAAGTTCAATGTACCTTTGAATTGACTTATGAAAGTTCGGTTCAGAAGACACTCCTATAACTTATAAGCGGTTCTCGAAGGTACGTCCCCGGCAGAACCCGGAAGAATCACAGCTCTTGCCATATTATGAACCCACACCCAGCTCTCAAAATATCCTAGCATCGATAAATCCCATTATATATGCGTTGGATTGAACCCCCCCCCCGACAAAAAACAGAAAAAAACAACTACAGCAAAAAAGATAACAAAACAAAGACAATATAGCCGGAAGACGCATGGCCATGTTCCAAGATACCATTTTTTTAAAACCTATAAAATATCGGCTTTTTAAAACCGAATTTGGGCTTCGATCAGTTTCATATCTTTAATCCCTTTTCTGTCGAAAAATTGCAATAACATGCTTACTAAATGTATCAAATTCACTGGACAGTTACTGCAGTGGAACCCACAAGGAGCACGAGGCAGGGTTAGGCCACGGGAAACATGGAGGAGATGCGTAAAAAGGGACGCGAGAGAAATTAAGCTCACTTGGAACGAGCTTGGAAGGATGGCCCAGGACAGCGATAAATGGAAGGAGCTTGTATGTGGCCAATACCCTGCCAGGGGTGAAAGGCATGGATGATGATGAATGTGTCATATGTTTATTTTCTTTATCTGAGATACCCTTCTTGACATGCATCACAAGATCAGAGTCAAAGATGTAAAATCAGCTTTTGCCATTGTGGAGTACTTCGTGAAAACTGAGTACTGCGAGTCGCTATTCGGTTTCTGCCCCCCCCCCCCCAAAAAAAAAAAAGTCGAAAAAAAAAATCTACAACTTTGGGGACAAACGTGTGCGCTAACTTTAAAAAAACCCCAACCCAACCCCAACCAACTTTTCTTCTGTTTCGTGCAGTTAAATACAAAGTTTCATGGCAACAATCCAAAGACATTGATTTGATTCTCTTCTTCTATTTTTTGTTATTTATAAGCACGGGACGTCTTACTTTGGATAAATAACTACAGCTTACACCGGTAAAAGAGGGGCTTCCAAGAACTATTGAGAATATCTTATTCGTGGCGTCGGTGGCCCAGTGGTTAGGCTCTCGGACTTGCAACCGTAAGGTCGTGGGTTCGAATCCCGTCAGGGACCCGACGTTGTGTCCTTGGGAAAGGCACTTTACACGAATTTTCCTCACTTCACCCAGGTGGGAATGGGTACCCGGCTATAGACAGCGAAAGATCTTGTCAGTTTGTTAATCAGCTGCTTGCACTGTATGCTTCCCGGAAGCTGAGAATGTTTCGGAGTGTTTTATTGTCTGCTGGGGTAATAATATAGTGTAAAGCGCATAGAGCCTGCTGTTGAGCGGGGATATGCGCTATACAAATGCTGTCTATTATTATTATTATTATTTAAAAACGATTTTCGTGCTTCCACACAAATAACCCGCAGAATCAATCCAGTAGTGTTGATGGCTCGGTGCAAAACTCCCCGTCAAACGTGTTATGGGCAAAATAGGTCTTCGTCAGCATCATGAGCCCATCCCTTATCTGATAAGGGTTTATTTTTCTCTGTTAATATTCTTTAATGCGTGGCTGCTTCCCAAATACAAATAATACCCGGAGCAACCTTGACGATGTTTCTATGGCCATAGCTCTCCTGGTGCAGCAGGTTCGGTTTGAAAATTTATTAGAAGTGTCGTGGTCCATGACGAAAAGAAAGGTTCTTTACACCATGAATGATATGCCCTGACGACATTTTAAATATTGAGGAAAAGGTTAAAAAATGTGCGTAGGGCACTGGGCCGCCTTTCTGAACCACAACCACGGATGACTGGTTCTGTTATATAAATGAGTCCTATAATTTTCCCCGTACTTTTTTGTTTGCTTGCTTATTTGTCAGTTTGTTTGAGATTTAAGTTGTTAACTATTCTATATGGTGATGTGAGGGGAAAAGCGACAACACACAATCTCTTGCAACACTGTCTAACATTCCAAGGATCTAGAATCAAGACTCCTTGATCAATAGGCTGTAAATCGTAATCGTCGCAAATTATGAAATTTGTGACAAACCTCCCATTCTGCTAGCTTTACTCAAGTTTCGATAAACTAGAGGCTAGCTGTGGGGCTGGTTTACGTACACGTCTGGCTTGAGTTTGGAGAAGCACAGGATGCTCCCTGAGTTTCCTCCCTGTTGCCAACACTTAATTCTTGAGCCAATTTACACAATTTAGATCATTCGGGAGGCAGGCTTCTGACACAGCCAGAAAGGGCCAACCCAGGCTGAGAGGGATAAAAAAATCCCAACAGAAGACCGACATACTCAATAAAAATTCCTCCCCACTCAGGAACCGAACTAGGGTCCTTTGCGTGCGACAGAGACGCACCTAACCTTACACCGTAGGCGCCGGCATTTCAACTGTGCAGCGACAGTTTAAAATGTGTGTGTGTGTGTGTGTGTGCACATGTGTGAGTGTGTGTGTGTGTGTGTGTGTGTGTGTGTGTTTGCGCGCGTGTGTGCAAAGGGGGGGGGGGCGCCAATATGCCTGATTTTTCCCTGATCACCTCACGGGGGAACTCGTTTCCTTCCCATCCGTTCTCGTCCCACATTGATTCGGTTACTTTTAGGTTACAGCAATTGCCACTCCAAAATTCTAAAGTGGAATGTGATGCGTAGAGAAAATTCATTGTTTATAATCACATCAACAGGGGGTGGAAGTAGGATTTCGTGCGGGATGAAAATGTGTGTAAAAAGTTGGCAGAATAATAATATATTATAGTTTTGATAAAAATCGTATTAATAAAAGTCTTGTTGAAAATCTGTTAAAAATCCCGGGTAAAACTTTGAACAAACTAGTCAGTCTGCCACTAACTCATGAGATGATAGATTGAAATTTCCAACAAACAGAAAGAGAAAAAAACGTCTCAGAATATCATCACACCCGCAAGTACAACTTTGGGGAAAAATGTGAGCGCTTACCCCCCCCCCCAAAAAAAAACAACAACAAAAAAACAAACAACAACAACAAAACAAAAACAAACAAATCCCCAACAACAAACAAACAAACAAAAACAAAACAACAACAACAACAACAAAAAAACAACAAAACAACAACCTTTCTTTTACTTTGTGCAGCGAAAACCTCAAATACATGTGCCATGATTCTCTTTGTCCTTTTTATTTTGTTATTCAAAAGCACGGAATGGCTTATTTTGAACACATATCTACAGCGTACACCAATAAAAAGTTTAAGAAACAGTGGGGTTTGCAAGAAATATTGAGGATATCTTATTTCTAAAGGATTTCTTGCTTCAACACAAATAACCCGCAGCATCAATCCAGTAGTGTTGATGGCTCGATGCAGAACTCCCCGTCAAACGTGTTGTGGGAAAATATGTCTTCGTCAGCGTCATGAGCCCATCCGTCGGTATTCCTTTATCTGACACGGGTTTTTTTTCTCTTTTAATATTTTTCATGCGTGGCTGCTTCCCAAATACAAATATTACCCGGAGCAACCCTGACGTTCATCCTTCTATGGCCATAGTTCTCCTGGTGCAGCAGCTTCGGTTTAAAAAGTTATTAGAAGTGTCGTGGTCAATGACGAAAAGAAGTGTTCTTGACACCATGAGATGCTCTGATAACACTTTAAAAACTGAGGACGAAAACGGGTCGTGAAGCGAAGATGTTGAACGAAAACGGGTTAACCGCACTTCATATATGCTCGCTTTTAAGGACAAGCGGGTTAACCAAGATTTCGGGGGTTTCTAGAAATCTTGACCTGCACCAAAATTGGGCATTGCTCTACCTATAGAAGAAGTTTGGTTTCATTGGTGTGTATATTTGTATGGTTATAGAGATAACTCTCCTTGTATTTTAAAGAAACTGAACTTGGGGCAAAAACTTTACCTTCGATTTTCTCAAAACAGCATTTTTCGGGATAGCCTCCTTGTGCTTAAAAGCGACCATATTATGACGTGGCCTCTAGGAGCGACTTGCAATCCGCCAATGAAGTTAACTTCGTCTTTAAAAGACGGTACGGAGAGGTACAAATTACATAGGTTTACAAGTATATAGTGCTGCCCTGTGCATCATTTCTCCGGTTTTGACTTAAATCCTTTTCAAATAATCAATCCCAGTCTCGAAAATCGGACTTAATTTAAACAAAACAATACAAACAGTCAACCATCCAAGCAACTAATCAACCAACCAACAAACCCTAACATTCTATGGAACACGGGCAAAACTGTACTGATTAGGGGCTCCGACAACCCCCCCCCCCCACCGCGATTTGTGAAAAAAGTCGACCGCTTCTGTCGCGTTTTGTAAAAAAACAACAACCCCACAACAACAAACAAACACATGTAACATCAATTCCCGTGCTGGTTAAAGATGAATTATTACATTTTGTGAAAAAACATTGACCTCGGAAAGTGCCGCACCTTTCTAAGATAATTTAGGAAAACCAGGATAGGCGGATGGAAAGCCTCAAACGGGGGCACAGTTTGTTTTAAGTTTGCAAAAGTCAAAAGTTGTACTATTTCTGGCCCTAAAATGTCAATCAGTACACTCATTTCCCAAACCCATCAGTTAGTGCAGACGACCTGATAGGGACAAGCGGATCATAGAACACTTACAAAGTCTGCAAAAGTCAAAGTTGTCCCTTTTTCGTAACTACGAGTGCAATTAGTACACTCATTTTCCAACCCCATTAGTTGGTGCAAACGACCTGATAGGGACAGGCGGATAAAAGAAAACTTACAATGTTCTTTTCCCAGTGAATTAACATCGCTGATAAGATCTTTAACAAGCAACACGAGAATAAATCAGTGGACAGTGAAGAAACCTCGTCACGTGCGTTTTCTATATACAGGAGGTCACGCGCAATATCTGATCTACATAGATACGTTCCATACGGCAGTACAGATTTAGCAAAAGTTTAACGGAACTTGCAATGCAAGTAGGTCAGATTATAAGTCCCCAAGACTAAATCTATTATTTGAGAACGACATGCAAAAAAAAAAAAAGAAGAGGAAAAAAGAAAGAAAGATGAGGACGATAGCAGATGATAGAAAGGAAAGAAGGAGCGAATCAAAACAGCGCGCCTGCCAACCACCTGCCTTCATACGTCAGAGGTAGTGGGGCGGAGATAGAAAAGGAAAACGCAACTTCAACAAAAAATACCGATGAGCATGTCATTGTCATCGATATGAGAAATTAAATGACCAAAAATGTTTTAAGCTCCAACCTACAAACTTGATCATGTATGGGGCTGGCTACTTCGACCCGAACTTCCAGGGCAAACGCAAACGCAAACGGGTGGACTACAAGCATAACAAAGAGCATAATAAACTTTGCACAACATATGTCGGGTTCCGAGCCAACATAAACTGTCATTAGGACAATTATTTATAAACAGAGAAACACTTTTTTTTCGTCATGAGTCTTGGAAAAGATCACCCCTTAAGTTACTTACCTTGTAACCTGCGACTGTAAACCTCCACAATTCTGTTGATATATACAAAAACATATATCAAAATTTTATAACTGTACACTATAAAAACAGCAAGAAACAAAAAACAAACAAAAAACACACACAAAAAAACAAACAAAAAACAAAACACCCCCCCTAAAAAAATCCAGAACATTTTTTAGGATAGGGTGTTCTCATTTCAGCGCAACACGGCCCCTGGGATCCTTTCCTAAGTCCCATTTGCATATACATATCGTTTGAGTGTGAGTGTGTGTGTGTGTGTGTGTGTGTGTGTGTGTGTGTGTGTGTGTGCATGCATGCGTGTGTGTCTTTGTATCTGTGTGTGTGTGTGTGTGTGTGTGTGCGTGCGCGTGTGCGTGCGTGCGTGCGCGCGTGCGTGCGTGAATGCCTGAGTACGTGTGTCCGTTTTGAGGTGTGTATAATATGTGAAGGTGAACAGGGTTGATGTTATAAAACATTTATAATGTTATGGACTGCCGTTCACGGCATCTATCTAAAAGTGTCAATGAGGACTTCAGTTTAGGGTGACTGCTAAACGTACCAGTAAAAATGTTTATAAAAAACATTTTTCTTCACAGTGATATGCCGAGCCAACAGGGCACTGATAAGTCCTGCGTGCGTGACGTATGTACACCAGACAAGTTTAACTAGTTGTCTCAAAATCCACATACACTTAACCCTAAATTGGGCTTGTGTAAATGCAAGACTATCAACTGTTAAAATCATGTCTAGACTTCAGTGTCCACTGATTCTAAAAGCCGTCCAATACAAAACTTATTGAAGCTAAAACTTCATAGATGGGCAACAAAGCACAGCAAAAAACTGACAAATGTAAGAGACCGTGACATGCTGAGAGGCAGAGTTGGAAGGACTGAGGGAATGCCAAACATCTGGCAATCGCTGTATCATGGACCATGAAATTATTTTTGAAAAATTTGCCAAATTACAAATCCAATTTTAACCACTCATGTGTTCACACAGTGACAAACTATCATGACAAACTAATCCTCCAAAATAGGTGCGCTACTCTAAACAGCGCTCTAATAAAAGAATCTTGTTTCCAGAACGTATCCTCGGGTATTGCGTAAACTTGTTCAAGAGCATAAAAATTATCGGTTGGGTTCCCCCCTCCCCCCCCCCACACACACACTTCGGAGCAGAAACTACGTCAGAAGTCAAATCTGAATAATATTTTGGTGACCCCTACAACCACAAGGCCCTGACACATGCGGCACTTACACGGGATCGTGTCGCGCGACGCGTGAATGCGGTGGCAGTTCAGTATCATTGACTTGCCTTGATGACGGGGAACAACTAACTAGCGCTCGGGCGAAGAATCAAGCAACTCGGAACGCATATTGAGTACTGATCAGTTTCATGGTGTTTCTACGTCCATTATACACAACATGTGTGTTTTGACTATTGCTGTCATCGGGTCGACATAGGAGAATCTGGGTGGTAACGAAAACGAACGTAGATCTTGATTTTCCAGATCGAGACTGCTGAACATCGATATGACATCACAGAACGTCCGCCGTACTCGCTTGCTTGCACTGAATTCATTCGCCTAACGCGGAAAGCCGAACAAACGCCGCGATAAGGACCAGTGCAACAGAACTGACAGACCTAAAGAAGACAAGAATTCAAAGCTTGGAGAATAAAATTCATTTTCCCAGCTCTTTCCCAGGTCAACTGGACACTTCCTTAAATTCCCAGGTCGCTCCCAGTGTCTCAGCGATTTTAAACACATTCCTTGAAATTCCAGGGGGTCCTATTTTAAGTCATAGCTTTACCGCGTGAACAAGTTAAGAGTCACCTTCTTTAATTTGTTCTTTTGGTGATGGCCTGGGTTAACTTGTTTTTTGTTTTTTTGGTCTACAGCTCTTAAACGTCAAAAGCGAATCCACTATGAATGTCTGCAACGAACTTGCCCGTTCGCTACTAGTGAATTTCTTTTTAAAACACCACGTAATGGCAAATACCCTCTTTTAATCCTAAGTATTACGGTTGAGTGACCCAAAATAATCCCGTTTCTGCATTTATCAGAAGACGAGTGGAAGAGCGAAAAGGGAAGTCACTGCATATATGTAACAGGATATGACGAACATCCTGACCTCATTCTTCTAACACCGGTGAGAGGTTGACAAGTCAGTGTAAAAAAGGGAACGTTTATTCTTAGGTGACGTTAGGCTACATCGTGTGATACTGCACCCCCCTCCCCCCTCCTTTTGCACTTTTCATAAAACAGGACATAACACTTCTTTCTCACTTGAAGTCACGGTGACCTACATGTAGCTCAATGGAGAGAAGAGGCAGTGCCGGATTAAGACCCAGCTGGCCTCAAGGCACTGTGCGTGTGTCTGTCTGTCCGGTAGAGGCACGCAAAATCTCTCCCCCCCCCCACCCCTTTAACACACACACACACACACACACACACACACACACACACACACACACACACACACACACACACACACACACACACACACACACACACATACAGCGCGTACTAATTCAAAACTACACACACATGCACAGTCTGTCTGTGCGTGTGTCTGTCTGTCAGCCAGTCCGAAGTATGACAGTGTGGAATATGGACAACATACCTGTAGGATAATGTAACTAAGGTCTCACAACCATGTAAAATTATGCATTATTTTTTTTTTTACCTAGATCGCCATTTTGCGAGCTTTTGCAACAGCGAATTCATCAACGACTTTGTTAATGTCAAGGTTGTGCAGTAAATCGCTTTCAATTGAAAGAAGTGCAAGCATCCCTAGCCTCTGCTGAGACATGGTTGAACGCGTCTTTAATGCGTTTCAATTGCGAAAATGAACCTTCGCCTGTGCAGTTAGTCGACATTAAGACAGGTACATCCGCAATGCTATCTCGCTGTCTGGAAAAGCTGAGAGGACACCAGTGGTATGCAAGAGTTTGAAAAAGCTCTGAGCGCTTCCAGTTGCATTATCCGGATATACTTGCTCTTTCACCCATCATAGGCACTGTCTAAATTCCATTGGAAAGTTAGGAGACAAGTCATGTGGATAGACATTAACAAGTGCTGATGTTGCAGAATTGATGTCTTCAGCTGACATTGAATTATACTCTGTTAAAACACCAAACCTCTGCACTGCTGTTGAATAGGCGTCAATTCGCCTGCATAGGGTACTTTTCAGTTGGTCCATGATAACCAAGAATGTATTCACTTTGAATTTCTCCTGACCCGACATTTCATCCATCACACTTGCGGCATCTCCGTCATCTACTGTTTTCCTGTGTACACGTGCTCTCCGACTGTCTGATTTATATATTATGCTGCTTCCACATCGGTCACTTGCCTTGAAATGGTAATAGTCAAACTTTTCTCGACACTTATCTATATGTGTCTAAATTTTTTAACAATCCAATGGCCGGGCTTAGTTCAATAGTTGAACTTTGTAGCAGTTTACTGCAGCAATTGAAACGATGTAAAATGTCATCCCAAAGTTCACACATGAAAACAACTTCAATGGTGTCCATATAACTTGCAAGAGCGCCAGCTTCGTGCTTCGTGAGACCATTCAGGTCAATATCTTCTGCAATCTCTTGTAGAGCACTTTGGAATTGTTTGTAGCCCCTGAAGACTGCTTCTGTCGCATCAGCTCGGGCAGACCACCGGGTATCCGATGGGTGTTTTGGGACAAGACATTCAGGATTTTCCTCAAAGTGTCGTAATAAAATATTCCGATGATGAGTTGATGCAACAAAAAATTAATACAAGCG